AGTATAACTCTGTTTTTAATGTATTGCTAAGAAGGTGTTGGCTGTCTTTTTTTTTTTTTTGTACGAAATTAAAATGTTTTTTTCTTGCAATACTTTAAACTTGGTCAAGTCCCCATCTTTAGTTAACCCTTGGACTGTCTACACTATGTAGCTAGCCCGAACACATTTTTTTGTTTATGCCTGGTGTTGGTTACCGATGTGGTAGACCAGGGGTAGCCAAACTCCGGCCCTCCAGCTGTGGGTGACACTTCAAATCCCATGATGCATCTCTCTTCGGGAGTCATGTCTGTGGCTGTGAGAATCTTGCACTGCCTCATGGGATTTGTAGTTCCACCACTGCTGGAGGGCCGGAGTTTGGCTACCCCTGTGGTAGACTGACCTTCTAAAAGGGGAATACCTAGAGCTTGATATCTCCAGGAGGAAAACAACCCTAATTGCTTGCAGATTCCCTACGTGGTTAGTCAGGATGACGGCCCGGAGCCCACATCTCTAAATGCAGTTCAGCGGATGCGGCTCCCATAACTTTGTCCTCGGTTGTTTGTCCTTAAAGCTGTCTTCACATCTGTGTATAATACCCTAAATTCTACACCATGGCATGTTCACAGAAAGGGCTTATGGCTCAATCACGCTGCACCGGGAAAGGGACTGCTGAACCTTGCCTGCTAACATTCCCGAACGATGGGCGTTCTACACTAGGCAGTGCTATGGCTGATGAAAGCAGATCAATCTCGGGAGCATGACGGCCGGAACGTCCATACCACTTCACTGTGAGGACAGACGGCCACACTGTACATTGAGGTGGAGAGGGGTGGGTGGTTGTCCCTACCCCACATGCCCCCATTACTGGATGTAAAAATGTGACCCACGTTCCTCGGCTTCCACTGCTCAGAACCTCCAGCAAATTCTGACCCTCCAACTCCAACCAAATGGACCTGAGCAGCCATGGCTAGTATTGCCTCCTTAATCCTTCCCAGCTCTATAAATGGGCTGACATTAGTCTGTATATAACCATTAATATTTCGTGTGGTCTTAGTTCAGAGACCCCTTCTGTAGAGTAATTGGTCCTCCAAGGCTACTCCTCCCAACCTAACCCCAGAAGATCCTTTGACATATTTAGATGTTGGGAAACATCCTGCTAAAGATTATCTACAGCTCATGGCACATCAGCAAGTTGTAGATCTGTTCAAATAATAATGTGGCATAGTTAGACTATAGGGGAACCAAGGTAGGTCCTCCCCCCCCCTTTATGTTTTATAGGATAAAATTTCCAATAAATTGATGATGGTTAGAAAAGAAATACTGACTGACCCACATATGTTGGCAGTCAGTGAAGTGACCCCCCCCCTCACTTGAAGGTTATAAGAGGTGGTTCCTCCTCGGTTCAGTGAGAGGGACAATGGCCATTACATAGGAAGGTCATTAGCAAGAACTCCATTTTATTGGGGGGCCATTGAGAGTAATCTACATCAGTGGCCGCAGACCACTCGCTAGATGACTGTTATCCCTCCGGCTCGAAGTGCCATTGGCCCCAGAACTAGAGGCACCTTTAGATAGGTCAATCAGCCATAGCTTGAGGTACCCATAGCAACCTCCTGGAGGACCTTTTTGGGGGCTTCCATTGAATCCTGGTTGAGTTTGGTTGCTCTAAAGTGGTGTAATGGGGACCAAGCTTAATTTTTCCTGTGGGAAATCCTTTGCTCCTTTTTAATTTGGCTTAGTGGGCGTCCTAACGTCTGAAGCTGGCTGTTCCGGTCGTTGTGGACTTCTCTGGGGAACTAAAGACTATGAATTGGTGTTTTGACTGGACTTTTTGTATAGTTTTTTTCTGTAACTTGCCACGATCCGTTTTCAGCCCTGCGAAGCCATTCTGTCAGGATGTCCGCCATTCCCGAGACCCGCTCGGCCGACCTGGATATGGAGGTGGAGCCTCTGCCGCTACCAGTTGTACAGCCAGCTGTAAATACTTTCGCCGGGAATGGCCTCTTGGGGTTAAGCAGACCATTAGAGTTGCCACCAGAACAATGAGTTAAATCTTCCACTGGGGGGACACCGGTTTGAGGGAATTTCACTTCCTGTTGAGTCTTTAGGACAGGA